GAGCCACTAGTAACCTTAGAATCAGTTCCGGCTCCAGCTCCAGTGCCCGTTCAAGCTATGGCTTAAAGGATCTCCCTCCTTCGGCATCTAAATTCACGTTAGAAGATGTGGAGGCACTAAATGCAACCTTCAAATCGGCTTCCAATTGGAAGGAAGTCATACCTGATGTTGCAGGCAAGAACTACTTTGTGTCAACAATCCTCTTAGCGAACTTATACATATAATTTAAATATTGTCTAGACACGAACATTCCACGTGATTATTTTCTCCCCAATCTCTCTAGCGATATGCTTCGGAGACGCACTTTCGATGCTAGGAACCTTCATGGAATTGATAAATACGTCGGAGCGTTCGTTAAAAAGTTGCACAGAGTGGTCATGAATGCAGGTTTCGATATAGGCACGGATGAAGCTAAGACAGACTCATTAGTAAACCATATGTTAACTCGCTTGGCTGAATTTGATGGCTTGCCATTTGGTTTAAGGTTAGGAATAACAAAAATATCTTTGCTATGTACTCTAATTATTTCTTAACCGCATCATATCTAAACCTAGCACCAAAGAATGTTACAGGCTATCCGTTAGTGATAAGAAGGTGTCTGCAAAACCTGAATTTGTAGTAGATAAGAATGATATTGCTATTTTAGTTGTAGTGGTTTGTATGTTTTGATTGTTTGACGAGCGTTTTTTATTACTCAAAACCTTTTTCTTAACAGGATAAGCATTTGAAAAACGTTTCGCCACCTGACTTTGGGGAAGCGCAAATGCTTGCCGAGATACTCGCGTGCGGGTGTGAAAATCTTGATCGATCTCGTGCAATTACAGATCAGACTATATTCATTGTTCGTGTCATCTCCTCGTTTGTTACATTTTACAAGGCTGAGATTCCTGTAGCATATTGGAGAGAACTTAAGAGAGGCTTACCACGAAAGCAATCAATTACAATTTTAAGATGGCCAGGGGAGAATGATCCAAACACTGGTCTAGATTTGGCGGAACCGGCCGGAAGACGTTCAGCTATTACAGCACTAATCAGAATTCGTGAATCACTTTTACAGGAAGAGGAAGGGGAAGACCAAGGGCAAGGGCAAGGGCAAGGGGAAGACCAAGGGGAAGGAGAAGACTAGGAAGAAGAAAAAGACGAGGAAGACGAAGGGAAAGGGGAAGACGAACAGCTGTTGTAATAATGTGATGGGTTATTTAGTCGTGCTGGGGAGCAGTTTTATTATAATAAAGAATTGCTTCATTTTGTGTTAAAAATAATTATTTTCATGCAACCTGTTATTTTTGCCTTCTCGATTTTCATTACGGAAGAAGTCTAACCAAAGAGGTTGATCTTGATTAATAACTCATAATTTTTTTATAGGAAAAGCAGATAATATCAATTGACTGGATTTCCATTCCAAATTTGATTCTTAGACTGTCAGTATTCTGACAAAGTATATTGAATTTCACTAGTTGGTTCTTTTATCCGCTTTGTGCAAGTGAAAAAAAAAATTGAACGAAAAATTATATATTTGGCACTTCATAAGAATACAAGGGTTTTTAATAAACTTTTGAACATAACTGTATCTTGTATAACAATGTTAGATACTCAATCAAAAATCGATTCGTTGCAAGAATTAAATTCTCAACTCATTGCCACAATTGCTGAGCTTAGAAAGGAGAACGCTGAGGTCAAGGCCGAGAATGCAAAATTGAAACAAGCCATAGAAGAAAATGCTGAGCTCAAGATCAGATTCGAGGAGCGAGAAAAGAAAAATAAAATGGATACTGGCAATCTTATTGCTGAGAATGTTGAGCTTAGAGACAGAGTCACGAAATGGAACAGAAGCAGACACAAAATGATACCGTACATGTGTTAGAAGATTCTATTCTCCACGAAGCATCATCTGATATTTCTTCCAATATTCATACACACTCGTCCGAGCCTAAATCATTGGAAAATAAAGAGATCGATGAATTTCTGGATTTGAAAAGTAAGGAAAAAGTTAGTAGCGAGATAAAGCAATGCAATAGGGAGAAGAAGCTTCAACGTGAATCAGCTGAAGACCGATCCCAAAACTTAATTTCAAATACTTCTATCTCTCCCGAGCAAAATCATGTAAGCGGAAAAGAAAAATGCCAAGAAATTACTGTCACGAAACGTGACGATTGGCAAAAAAACTTTTCGAATCTTAATATAGAAACTAAAAAACATTTATCACAGGAAAAACCAGGGAGCGAGTCTCCAAACTATAACATTTATGCGTCTGAAGAGCCTGATGAAATCAAGCCCACTAAAAGTCAATATATAGAGCAAGGATTAACAAAAGAATTGCGAAGTAGTAAAGTCATTGTCTCACCGGTTTCCTCTGAGATTACAGAGCATCAATCATTTCAAGTTACAACGCAAAGATTAGTCTGTTTATTCCAAAATGCAATACGAGCTAGACATGAAGAAATCTTATCTTGGTACTATTACTCAGACAGTTTTGAAATTAAAGTTATCGAAATTCGCTGTGAGACTGGAATTACAGGTAAAACTGCTAGAACGCAATTATACAAGCAAATGTTAAACCATTTACCTTGCATTACATTAGGAAACTTGCGTATGAAAACTCTAAGAGCCAAAAAAATTCGTATGTTATTTGGGAAAGATGGAGTTGGAATAGATAAAATTAAGCAAGTTACCTACAGCATATATGCATCTCGAGCCTTACTAATACTCAAATTCAAAACGTTATCAAGAATGTAACTTCAGTAGAAGTGCCAAAAACTGTCACGAATCGTGATGATCAGACTAATGCAGAGGTAGGTGCTTCATCTAGTGCACAAAGTGCACTTTCTCTGAAAGATAATATATTGTCAGAAAATAAAATTCCATCTATAGATCATGCAAATGTACCGTCTAATCTGACCCATGATCGTGCTTATTTTCGTAATAAAATATTAGGTCGATACCCTGATATATATAGAGAATTTAGCAGTGAAAAATTTGATTATTATGGAATCATTGATAAGTCATTATGTCCAGCATGCAAGCTGAGTCACAAAGATGAGAAAAGTATAAAAGGTAGATATGGAGTCAGATCTTATTTTATTAAATGTGGAAAGCATGAAATCGAGATAACAGCATAAATCATAAAGACAGTCACTATGTAAATGTCTTCAACAAATTTTCTGATTTCAAACGTTTGTAAATTAGTTAGTCCCGAAATGTCATTGCTTTGCAATACTATATTTATTTTTTAATTACTAATTCGGAATATGTACAGAGTGTCAGCACGTAAGTATTCTTGTTATGTAAGTGAGACAAAGACACTGAATTCTATTCATTATTCCATAATAATAAGCAGTTATTTTGTATTCAACTCTGCTTCTATGTATATCAAAGAATGAGACACAACTTATACTTAAATTAAATTCACGATCATATAAAACAATAATATGGATAAATCCTTAACCCCTGAATATTTGGACTGGCATGCTAAATTGGTTGATTCACCAAGTCATTTGACAGATAAAATCTGTTCAAGCTTATATAGTGCATATATAGAAGAGACTGGGCTTGATCCCTGGATAAAGTCTGAAGCTCCTGAATCCTCACAAATCAAAAAGGGTGCTGTGAAACTTTTGATTGCTACTGAGGCTGAGAAAAAAAGATGGAGCATGGGATGCTTCCGTGGTGATTTGGAGAAAGATATACGTTTTTATCGTGAAGGAATAAAAAGAAATGAAGATACCAGAAAATATCATAAATTTTTAAAAGATCTCCTCCACGATTAAACCAAAAGATACATTGATGTTCATAGGTGCAAAAGTATCTTTTCTCATAGCTTCCAGTAATATACATGTTTCTAGCTTCATCACGGTCTCCACAATGTGAACAGGCTGGAAGATTTAATCGTTTTTCACTAATACATTTGTCACAAGCAGTTGACTTTTCTCCATTCATTCGAAAATATGCTCCAGTATAATATTTGTCAACAAATTTTTCACACTCTAAGCATTGTTCGATTTGGGTGGTTGGATGAATATGATATAGAGCAGATTCAAAAGT